CACGGTTTGCGTTTCCACTGCAGTTCAGTACCGCTTTAGAGTGGGCGGGATTATTCACGTCGTTATAGTTGCGCCGCCTCTACTACCACGACTCCTAAAAAAAAAATCGCCCCATCAAGCTCTCGCTGGATCCGCTCCTCTGCTATCAACGAGAGGAACGTCTGTACATCCACAACAGACAACAAAACTTTTTGGTTGTTAAAAAAAAGGTGCGCTCGTACCATGCAGTGGAAAAGCGCCATTAGACCCCGGTACTCACCTTGGGCTCCACTAAACTAGTGTGTCTCTGTTGACACACTTTTAAAGCATCGCTCCCCTCACTGTTGAGGGTTATTTGTGAGCATGGTGCTTTCTTCCGAGTGTTCAAGTTTTCTCCCCTTCGGAGGAGTTGAATTCCCCACTCCATGGGCTGTTCTCGTGGTGGTGTTTAGTAGTGCTCCCCTCTATCAGAGGGTTGCCTATGAGCACGCTACCCCTTTTCTGAATTTGGAGTTCTCCTCTCACATGGAGAGTTGAGTTCTCTGTTTTCCCAGAGCACTTGGAACCGGCAACATCAGGCGAAGTAGGCCCTTCCTCTGCCTCTCTGATGTGCTGAGTTCTTGGCTAAGCTTACAGTACGCTTACCCTTCTGATTTCTAACGAACATGCTGTAGGTCGAGCCCCCTCTCGGCTGAGAGCTGGGTGTTATGCTCCCTCAGCTAGGTAACTTACTGCTAGCCATTCCAGCATTATACCATAGATCGTGTTGATGACTTCTCAAATATATTGTTCTTGGGATGCACCATTTCCATCTATGGGCTGCTCTTTCAGAGTGCCATGAGGGCCCCTTAGAACGGTAACTTTAAAATCCATGTTATGGTAAGTGTGCACATGAAGTCCCTGCGCACTTTCTAAAATCCACACTGTGATAAGTTCGCACGCTAAGCATTTGCGTTCTTTCTAAAATCCTGTATGGTAAGGGCTACGCGCGGCGACTTTGTGCCCTTTCTTGAGTTGGTTAAGAGTTCCACCTTGGGCACCACTCCACCTTGTATTCTCAGGATACCTACTTTAACAGGGTGTTGCTACTAGGGGTCTGTTGAGACAGTTCCTTCAGCAAGCTCATGCAGCGCAAGCGGTAGCCCCCTGGGAGACAGGTCAAGACCTAGTATGATTCTAGGCACTTGGTCGTATCCCCTTAAAGATATTTATTCCTGATTCCAAGCCTTGAGCTCTACCCCGGGCCCAGGAGTTCTGGCCCTAACAGGTACGTTTTTGGGGTATGTAGTCTAGGCCTTTGGCCGTAGGGGATAATGTCACTGACAGCCGTCTAACGTCCCAGGGACAACTCCCATGGCTATGGTAGAGTTGGTACTTAGTGCTCGCCGTGGTTTTCTGGCATGCACTTCCCTCAGTGGTTCTACCATTCCCCAGTTCGAAGTTCCCTTGAAAGGGAACGTCTCTGGTTACTTATGTAACCATGGTTCCCTGAGTAGGGAACGAGACACTGTAGCGACAGATGAAGACGGTTTCTGTCCTTAATGTTGTAGTTAATTTTGCAAAGATTTAGCTTTGTACATTCAGTTAAAAAGGACAAACTTCCTCATTCAACTGAGCTGTGCATATGTACTTTATCAGATACATTAGGCCTATGTTCTTTCTTGCTCCATCCATGCAATAAATGTATGTCCTCAACGAATGAGCGTATTAGCTCAGGTCAATGGTGTGGCCCATTTCAGACACAAAATTAAAATTTTTGAGGGTTTGAGAAAATAATTAAAATAAAGACTAACAGAATCTACATTAAACACTCACTGACTTATTCTCTCATGTTTCCAGCTCATCTGCCTGTTCCTGTCTTCAGCAGAATCTTTTCTTCATCATCATCATGTTCACTGGTGTGTTCAGTGGTGAATGTGGGTCATGTGACTCTCTCCTGGTACAAAGGTAACAGTTTATTGTCCAGCATCAGTGCATCTGATCTCAGCATCAGTCTCTCTCTACCTCTGGAGGTGGAATATCAGGATAAAAACAGCTACAGCTGTGTGCTCAACAATCCCATCAGCAAGCAGACTCAACATCTGGACATCAGTCAACTCTGTCACACATGTGCAGGTACAGCAGCGCTGATATTATTACGCTGCTTTGTGGAAATCTCGATTCTGATTGGTCAATCGCTTCATTCAAGCATTTCCTAATATTCTATGTCATCCATAGAAATGCTGTATATCACATCTTAGAGATGTCTATCCGATGTTTGTACACAGCAGATGCTTTCCAGATGAAGCGATCTTTAACAGGCGTCTTGCAGACATATGTGTGCTATCTGAATAGAAGTTCCTCTTTTTCAAAACTTTTTAAATTGAAAGAAACCTTGACGTGCAGGAACCAAGAGTGATCAAAATTACTCAATTTTACAAAAAAATCGGATAAAAAAATAAAAAAAGTAATCTGGAATGTAATAATGAGCTATTTGCCATGATTGAAATTGAAACGATACATTGAAGTGTTACTACAGTACTACAGATTCAGCTACTTTAATCCTATGACAAATAAAACAGCTGTAACTGATATTTAGCGTTATTCACTGAGCTGAACTGAACTCATGTTTGATGTTTTTATTTCTCAGACTCTGTCCGCACTTGTGGTTCTACTGAAGCTGTGATCCGATTGGTCGTCACTGCTCTGGTGGGCGTGGCTGCCGCCGCTGCTGTTGTTGTTCTGGTTTATGACATCAGATCCAGGAGAGCTGAACAG